CACACACACACACACACACTTTCCTTTCCCCACATGTTTCTTCTCCTAAACTTGTCCTCTTGCTCCAGTGACTCTCAATGCTGCCCTTCCCACTTTCCTTCATTAATTAATTATGTCTTGATTTCTGTCACATTTCTTTCTAAGAGTTCTCTGCTGCAAATTACCTATTTATTTACAAAGTAAGATTGTTGGCCCAACCCAAAACGAATTATAAATACATTGGATAGACAGAAAAGTAAACAAAGATGGACAGACAAGAGATTATGTTATTAATGTAGATGTAAGGATGAGAAGATTAAAAGAGAAGAATAAAAGAGACAGAGTAAAGAGATTTACAACTAAAAACATTAGTAAAGTACAGGATAAATAAATAAGTTTACGTTTAAGGCAAAACTTGGAACTTTGTCTTACCTGCATTGAACAAGACAAGCATCCTGAGAAACTCGTACTCTTTGCCGTCGACCGCCATTTGCTGGCACTTCTTGATGAAGGTCTGCACGGCCTCCACGGATTTCATGGTGGGTTCGACCTGCGAGGGCCCTGACTCGACGGTGGTCGAGTCGAGCACAGGGATGGGCGTCACGGCAAACTGAAAGTTACTCTCCGCCATGTACAGGAGCAGGAGGCGACTCCACGAGTTGAGAATCAGGGTGACCTTGTCGTTGTGACACAGAGACGAGAATTCGGGGATGGACTTTGCGAAGCGAACCATCTTGACGAGCCAGTCTGAAACGCGAGCGCTGACGGGGAACAAGTTTTTCTTGGCAAGAGTGACGCGCGTGTTGCTGGTGACTGGCGTGCGGGGGAAAGAGTCTGAGGCCGGGGAGTCGCAGGTGCGGTCCGAGCTGCTCAAGTTTGGTGTCGAGCTGCTGAGACTTCCTGAAGAGCTCCCGGCCGGAGATAGATGGTGTTTGCCAACACTGAGCAAGTTGCGGAGGAGCGAGAACTCCTCGCCATGTTGACCTTCACCTGGACTCGGTGGGAAACTGTGCATCGATGTGACGGACGGCGACGATGATGAAGACAAGAGTTCTGAGGAAGATGCTCTCAAAGTGCTGAATTTGGCAGGAAGAGATGAGGACAGGATTCCCGTGGAGGAGCAGGAAGAGTCACTGTTCGATGACGCTACATCCATAAACGCGGACACAGCCGTGCGTTTTCGGCTGGGCTTTTTACAACTAAGGTCCATGGGTTCCGTCTGCATGTCCGATACGGAATCTTGAGATGCATGCGATTCGTGAGATTGTGGCCTAGGACTATAACTGAGAGAACTATGGTGACTGGGGCAGGGGCTGGGGGCGGGGTGGAGGAGGGGGTGGGGCAGCGAGTCAAAGTCCATGGGTGCACTGTGATGTACTGATGACGGAGACTCTGACGACGATGACGCTGATAACGATGACGAGGAAGATGCAGATGAGTTTGCGAGATGAGAATACGCGGGGGGGATTTCCCCTCTGAGTACAGATTGCAAGGTTGTGGCATGACTAGAAATGTCCAGGTGGGAACCCTGCTTGGTGGGCCGTGACCTCCCAGGCCTCTCTGGGGTGGGGGTGCGGGACGGGGTGTTGGCCTCGAAGGGGTAGCACGAGTAGAAGTCGGAGGGTGAGGTGAACACTCTCTGCATGCTGGCTGGGGGGAACATGGCTGATGGTTGGACACCGTACAGCACGCCGGATCTTTGCAACACCTCCATCAACTCTCTACAGCCACGCTGGCGCTGGGGAAGGGCACAGGGGGGAAAAATCAACATGGTTATTATATATATATATTA